ATATGTAATGCTAATTAAGGCAGCGAATATGTAAACAGGTCCCAATACATAATACAGAAGTATTTGACAAGAGGGATACTATATTTTAAGAGTAGTTTTCTTGGGGTTTTTTTTGGGGGGGTGGGGGCGGGTGGAACTTCTGGAGCCAAAGGTAGTTTTCCAAAAAGTAAAATAATGAATCTCAGACAAATATAAAATAACCCATATGAAAGATTTTAAAAGGCATTCATTCATAAGAGAACTAATAAGATATTATAACTAATTCAAAGAAAAATTCAAAGAACAGACAGATGTATGGACAATCAGTGTTGAGATGAGTTTTCTAATAAATGCAAAGCTGGCCTTGACCACAGAGCCGACCTTACTTTCATCTCTACCATACAAAAGTCTCTGTGAATCTCTGTGTGAGCAGTGTCTATAGACAAAATCATTTGCTTCTATTGATCTTCACCTGAATTAGAAAATAACTCAAAGGAGAAGTACAGACCTTTGTAGCATCAGATCACCAGAAGGATCAAAGTTACAGAACAACCATGGGGAATACAGAACAAGCATAGGGAACGTAGTCAATAATATTTTAATAACTGTGTATGGGGCAGGTGGGTCCTGGAAATACCAGGGGGAGCCCTCTGTGAAGTATATCATTGCCTAACCGCCATGTTGTACACCTGAAATTAATACAGAATAACATCGAATATAAACTGTAATTGAAAAAATTAAAACCAAATGAAAGAGAATCTTTCTGTCCCATCCAAGTACTAACCAGGCCCAACCCTGCTCAGCTTCCGAGATCAGACGAGGTCAGGTGTGTTCAGGGCGCTATGGCTGTAAAGACAGCATGGTTGGACCTGGAGAACATGAGGCTGAGTGACATAACCTGGTCAGAGAAAGACAAGTACCACGTGATTTCACTCACGTGTGGAATCCAATGAACAAACTGAACTGAAAAGCAAAGTAGAGACAGACTCGTAGAGACAGAGCAGAGGGACAGCTCTGGTGAGGGGGGAGTTGCGGGTAGCAGGATCCAGCAAAAAAGAGGAAGAACTCATGGACGTGGAAGACTGTGTGGTGACTGTGGCGAGAAGGGGGCATGGGTGAAGACGGAAGAGGGCATAAGGGAAGTAAGTGGTAATGGAAAAATACAATAAAAAGTTAACTATTAAAAAAAGAATCTCTGTCCGTTTCAAAGACTGGTCTAGTTTCTCTTGATTTAGAGAAGTATGCAACCGATTATTCTAAAAGTTACTGAAATGGCATTAAAGGGACATGTGCTGCAATCTCAGCCTAGGCATTTAGCAGTTCTGTGAAGCAATCACTTCACCTTTATGGAAAAAAAAGTGATCTCTTCCATAAAATGATGACCATAGGATCTAGTTTATAGGGGCTCTTACAGGGATGGAATGCCATGTGTCCGAAGCTCCCGATACAATGTGTGACTCATAGTAGACATTCAGTAAAGTGGTGTCTTTTACTGTACTACTTATAATTAGCTGAACCAACCAAAGGATAATTGTGCTCAATTGTGCTTCAGGCAGCATTAGGTAAGGCCCTGGGGAAGGAAGTGCAATGGTCTCCCAAGGAACAATGAAACTGTCAGCCTGCTTAGAGATGGAGCTTGGTAGAGAGGCTGAGGAATAATGCAGGGTGGGTAACAGCAGCCTCTGGGGGCTTTGGGATCCAGACAGAGGGGTTCTGCTCTGCCACTGGTATCTATTTCTGGATGATGTGGAGTATAGATTCCTGGACTTCACCCCGAGCTATTACTTCATAGCTGGCAGATAGGTATCTGTACTCTATTAATTTTCCCAGATATTGCTTGAACACTGAACTTTAAGACCACTGCTCCAGATATAAATCTTTAATTAGAGCCATATTCTTGAAATTTAGGATTAAAGTGAAATAAAGGGCCTTCTTGCCAGAGTCCAGAATGACTTTGGATGAAAAGATGAAGCAGAAAGTTGACAACAGTAGGTATAACCCATGACCAGGATGATGGAGGACTTCACTAGGATGGTAATTAAGGAACAGAAAGGAATCAGTGACTCCAAACATCATCATAAAGAACTGTTGGGTTGGCCAAAAAGTTTATTTGGTTTTTTCTGAAAGATGGCTCTAGTAGCACTTAGTTGTCTTTATCTTCATTCAAAACAATTTTGTTAGATTGTATTGTGACAGCTGTCATATCATTAAATTTAAAAGTTTTGAGTGAATTTAAAAATTCACTCAAAATCGGTGAATTTTTGTGTAGCCATTTTAATATTGAAGATGGGAGAAAATTTGCAACATTTTTGGCATATTATGCTTTATGATTTCAAGGAAGGCAAAAACACAACTGAAATGCAAAAAAAAAAAAAAATGTGCAGTGTATGGAGGAGGCTCTGTGACTGATTGTGTCAAAAGCGGTTTGTGAAGTTTCGCAGTAGAGATTTCTTGCTGGATGATGCTCCACGGTCCAGTAGGCCAACTGAAGTTGAGAGCGATCAAATCGACACGTTGAGAACAGTCGACGTTATACCATGTGGGAGATAGCCAACATACTCAAAGTATCCAAATCAATAAAGTTCTTGTGAAAAAGAACAATGTGTCTTTTAGTTAAATTGACGTTTTGGACAACCCAATAGAATTTAATGATTAAGCGGGTAGAAAATTCAAAGCGGAGGACAGCAAGTATTCAAAACTGACCACGTGATTTTCAGTCCAGGTGGATGGGAGCATGAAGAGTCACTGACATAAATGGTGAACTGAAAATGGGCCGTTTGGTGGAAAGATCAGTGCAGTTTGGAGCACGTTAGCGGACGGTGAAATTTTGAAGTAGAAACTCAGAGAACATCATTAGCGGAAGGGAGGACTGCCAGCTCGAATGACAGGTCTTAGCTAGAACGATAGATGAAATTTTTATGGAACGTCCTCAGATAAGGCTTCTCTGTTTTCCTTTCTTTTTAAATTGTCAAAATATGCTATTTCCTACAAAAATAAAAGGATTATATGAGCCAAAATACTGATTGCTGGAGAAACTTTAAATGAGTGTTTTAAGTTGAGTCACTATCCTGCATGTGGGCAGAGAGGAAGGAAAGCTGTATTTACAATTTTTTTTAAAATTTGTTTATTTATTATAGAGAGAGGAAGGGAGGAAAAAAGAGAGGGGAACATTGACCTGTTGCCTCTCATGTGTACCCTGACCAGGGACTGAACCTGCCACCCAGGCATGTGCCCTGACCAGGAACCAAAACAGAGACCTTTTGCTTTGTAGGACAGCCCCCAAACAACTGAGCCACACCAGTCAGGGCTGTATTTACAGTTTATTTTCAAGATCAAACTGTATGGCGTGGTTGATAAAAACGAGCATATTTAATTTTCCTCTTTCTAGGTAGGATGAAAAGTCCTTAAGGACCAGGCAAGTTGGTGAAAACTCATTTGTGTATCCCAGTGAGGGTTTTGGTAAATGCTTAGTTGTTGAACTGAATCTTAAAACGATCCTCAGGGATTCCTGGCAGTATCTCCCCACTGCTGGAATTAAACCTATTTCTCATAAATCCCTTCGGTTCCGTTCCCAACTATGCTACAGTCCTTTGGGAGGCTAATTAAGATCCCTGGCTAGTACGGGAATTGCTGTCTGAAAATTAAAAGTTAGAGGATGCCCCAAATCTCAGACTCACCTGGCTCCTTGGGAAACTTGCTGGCATTAGCTGTGTCCTTAACACAGACTGTTGATTCCAAGCTCTGCTGTCTTGGTTGGAGCACAGTTGGTTACAAAGGGTCTATAAGGAGACCCCTCACTGCTCTTCAAAGCTATACACACTTCTACCAAAATAAAACTGTTAAAAAAAAAAAAAAGCTTTTGGTTGCAAGGGCTTTAATTTTTGTCTTGATCCTACTTTTAGCAAAAAAGAAAAACTATCATAATAATTTTATATATATAATAACTAAAACATTTTATTGATTATTGTATAAATAAAAAGTTAGGCTTGTTCCCAGAGGAAGTATGTTCTTTAAGGTAATTTTAAACTCCAGGCTGTGCCTATACTTCTATAAGGATTAGAATTTATATGCATTTTTATTGTTTTCTAACATTCAGCAGTCTGTACTTCACACAATATATTGTAAGGAATATTGAGTATAAAACACGTTATGCAAGGTATTTCATTGTATATTAAATATTTGTTTAAATGAATACCTTTTTTGCATGTTCTAAACTTCAATTTATTTCTATGTTGCTATAAAAAATCACATTGTTTAGAATAAATTTACATTTTATTCTTGTCCTTAACATTCTGTGATATTTGTATCAATAAATTAAGGTGCTTTATCAACTTTTTTGTGTAATTCAAGTGTACAGAATTTCAAAGCAGATTCAAGTGTGCTTTCTTCTAAATGGTTTGCTTAAACTTTTGGATAGCATCATATATGCAACAATAAATACATTCATTTGTTCATCTGACAGCTACTTACTGAGCATCTCCTATGCCCAGACACTGTTCCGAGTGCCAAGGGTACAGGAGGAAAGGAGGTATGGTATGGTAGACAAGGTCTTGCACTTAATCTAGCCTGTAACATGCCAATAGCAATAATAGTACCTAGCCCTCAGATGGTAACATTGATCCAAGTCTTTGTAATAGTTAATCAATTAAACCTATGGACTGCTTCTTCAAGAACCAGAAGCCCCAGAAGAAATTCTGTTAAAGGACTCAACTTAGAACTCATATTTTACTTAATTCCTGTTAGTTCTCAATAATATGGACACCTAAGCTTATAAATTTGGGATTATACTTTCTTGGAAGTTCCCATCACCAGCAAACTCAGTGTTTGTTTACTTAACACCATTGATTGATTTGACCCGTAGGAAAATGCCAGGGTAGTATGATTGCTGAGAAACATTTGAGCCTGGTCATTTTAATAGCAAATATTTTATAATCTGTGTCTTTAGAAATGCAACATCATTAACTTTTTTAAAAACTCTGTATTTAATGAGAGGTCTTTATCTTTTATCCACTTTTTTCCAGGTTTTAGGAAAAAAGCCAGAGCTCAGGGAGGGAGATGATGATGATGACATTATAGCAGACATAACAAACAGGAAAATGGCTAAACTCTACATGGTGAGTTAACTGTTAGACAGTTCTGTTGTTTTTACTAGATGTAATGGGGAGGCCTGTACTGGAAGGGACTCTTTGCTGCAGTTGATATTCTCCTTGTTGCCCTCAAAGAGAAATGTGTAGGTAAAATCCATTATTTGCTCTAGTGTATTTATTAAAATTCCTTTTTTCATTACTTATTGTTATCTTTATTAAAAACTAAGTGAACTTACTGTTGTAAAAATAAAACTACACATTGTTCCTTCACTAGTTTGCAACAATGTGTTTGATATATTACATTCAATAAAATGTTTCCTTCATGGAGTAAACATATTTTGTAAGCTTTTCCTAATAAACTCTTGATAAGCTATAAAATCTTCACCTTCTTTAAAATATTCTGGTTAGCCATAGTGAAAGCTTTCTTTATTATGGGCAAAGCTATGAAATCAAACAGCTGGAAGGAAGCAGGATAAAAACGGCCCTGCCCTGGGGACTGGCAAACCCAGTTTCATGTCACTTCCGTGGTGAATGACTGTCTGGATGACCATGGACAAGACATGACCATTCCAAGTCTAAGTTTTCTTATCTGGAAAATAAAAAGAGAGAGAGAGAGGGGATGAGATTACGTTAGAAGCTTACTCAGTTCTTTCCAACTCTATAATAACCCTCTAATTTTATGATTTTATTGCTGGTGAGGGTAACAAAAGCCACGAGGTACACCGGTGAGGAGCCTGCTCAAGTGGGACCATTCTAGTGTTCCCTCCGCTTCCAGCTCCCTCAGCAGGTCGTTTGGAGCCGACTGTCAACTCCCTGCAGAACTCAATAGTTTTCTCATCTCTTTGGAAAGGAGTTGTAGTTGCTGCTCTTTAAGTGACCTTCTAGCTCAGAACCACTGATATTAGATGAAGATCAGATTACTAACTTGTCCAGCATAACATCCTTTTTTTAAAGGGGAATTGGATTGTTTTCTGCCTAGATGACAAAGGAAAATGTGTTTGCTGCTTCTGTTAAATATACTGATAATTTTAATATAAGCCATACAGAAATATCAAGAGTTTGTGGCTGCTTATTTTTTTTAATTACTGTTTCTAAAACTCATTTTCAGCAGCTGAACAAATATCTTTTATGCCGCACCCTCAAATAAAACTATTCTCGCTCTTGGACAGCATTAAGGACTAAAGTATTTTACAATATGAACATGATAATCCAGAATCGTTGCTCCCTCTAGTGGACCTATCATGTATTGCATGCAAGTATAAAGTTACTTGAAAATACTGTAATTTAAGATTGCTGAACAAAGTGGGAAAGCAGAGTCACTAACTGCAGCGTTTAAGACCCACCAAAGTGCTGAAAAACACCACTGAGCTAGGAAGGGCCCTGGAGTCTGCATGTTTATCAAGTACCCAGGTGGTTACATTGTAGCCTACAAGGTGACCATTGAAAACCAATGAATTCTAACCTGAGCCTTAATATCACTTTCAATTTTGTAAGTCTACCTTCAACTTTTAAAGACAAGCTTTGTAGTCATTTCCAAATTTGAGAATCTAGATAACAATTAATTTGTGGCAGAGGAAATTTACTTTGATGATTTATACAAAGTATACATATATTATAGGACCTGTATTGAAAAAAATTGATAAAGATAAACTAATTTAGCAATGCCTGACATATGGTAGGCTCTCAGTAAATGTTGACTGGTTGAATATTTAAACTTCAGCTTTTTGTGTGTGCCTAATGACTGTAGGATTATTATCCATCTGAAAAGATTGCTGTAAAAATTAAGAAATAGTCATGTAAAGTTCGTAGCATGGTACCTAGTATATGAGAATCTCAACAAGCCTTAGCCGTTATTATTATCACTATTTTCTGATGTTTTAGATGTGGTGTCTTAACTTTTTATTAGTAGTTCTTTTATCTTTGGGATTGTTTTCTGCCTAGATGACAAAGGAAAATGTGTTTGCTGCTTCTGTTAAATATACTGATAATTTTAATATAAGCCATTTTTTTTTAATCTTTGTTTTAAAAGCCTTTTTTTTGTTTTAAAGCCTTTAAGGATATAATTGGGCTCGTGGATTTTGTTACTGGCTTCCTTTCCTTGAAATGGCTTTGTTGAGCTGTAATTTACATACCATAAAGTTCACCCATTTGTATAATTCAGTGGTTTTTGTTACATTTAGAGAGTTGTGCAGTTACCACCATAATCTAATTTTAGAAGATCTATATCATTGCCCAAATGAGCTGCTATTTTTTCATTAGGTTTCAGACGCCAGCGGGTCCATGAGGGTGACGTTGGTGGCCGAGGAAAACCCCTTCTCAAAGGCGATGCTGCTGTCTGAAGAATGCTTTATTTTGGACCACGGTGCTGCAAAACAAATTTTTGTATGGAAAGGTAAAAGAGGCCATTGACTTTGTGGCTGCTCTTCAGGTTTGTGGGTATTTCTTCGGCAAGGTAAAGAAAACGTATTTTCTGATTAAAAATAAAAAAATCTACCTTTCTGAGACTTGATCGGTAAACAGCCCACATAAAATGCAGATATCAAAGCCACGTTTTTTTCCTACTAGCATCATTTGCCAGGGATGATGGAGTTAAAAGACCATTTGGACAATACAAAAAAAAAATCTTTTTTATGTGTAGTGTTCATTACTGCATTTTAAGTGTATCTAATGTACTAGAAATTTCTGCCATTTTCTCAGTGTTGTATTTAAATTAAATAATTATTTTTGTACATAATTTTTACTTGACCCTATAATATCTTCCCTTGCTAAAATTCTGCCTCTCTTTAATGTATCTTGTAATTTAGGTAAAGATGCTAATCCCCGGGAGAGAAAGGCTGCCATGAAGACAGCTGAACAATTCCTAGAGCAAATGAACTATTCTGCCAATACCCAAGTATGTGTGGAAAGGAACTGTCTAGAAAACAATTCAAACATGGGTGCTCATGACATCTCCACAAAACTCATAAAAGCATTTAATTTAAAATAACGTGTAGGTGTGAAGTCATTCCTCACTTGAGTGTGTGCAGTGGTGTGCCGTACGTCCCTAGAAAGCTCTGCGTATGGAGCAGCGATCTTCAACTGGCGTGCCGCAAAATTTTTAAAACATGCAATACCTGACTATTGAGTCAATGGCACTGACCTCTTTTTTCTGTCAAATTAGAAAATGACAACAGCTAACACAACAGTAGCAGTCTGGTGTGAATGAATCAAAATTATACCTGTTTTTTCTCAGATTGGCAAAAATTCATTTTTGGTGTGTCACAGAACTTTAGCGATTAGTTTACATATGCCATGAGAAGAAAAGGGTTGAAAGTTGCTAGTATGGAGGATGGAATTTTTCAGAAACTGAGGAAGACACCTTCTGGGGGGCTGCATAGTGAAAGTAAGAGTTTACCTATTAATATGCCCTCCACAGTCTTCAAGTCAAAATAATCAACCACAGTTGAATTTACTGGGAGCTCTTATCAGTTATTCCTTAGAACAATCTGTGCAGACATGGACTAATATCTAGATATCATTTGGCTTCACCATGATCAGCTTAGACACGAGCTACTGATTCTCATCTTCTAAACCTCTCAGTCTCCTCTTTCCTCATTTCCATGTCCTGACCCAAGTAACACCGTGAGATCCCTTCTTCCAGGTCCGGACCATGGAGGAACCTAATGTAGAAAAACAAGCTTATTCGCCTGCCATGATAACATATGGAACAACTTGGTTCTTACTGCAAACTTCCAAAATCAGTGGCAATCACTTCAGTTACGAGACAAAAGCAGGCTCGGCTCGTTCCCTTCCCTTCTGCAATCATTTCAGGATCCCAGCTTCCAGGTTTCCGTCTGCCTCAGAGAAGCCAGGACAGTCTTTTCCTTGCCTTAGTTTTTCCTTTGCTATGTGATTAATGCTTTTCCTCACTCTCTTTTCTCTTTATAATTCTTCTTCTTTTTTTTTTTTTTTTTAAATTTCAGATTCAAGTCCTTCCCGAAGGAGGTGAAACACCGATCTTCAAGCAGTTCTTTAAGGACTGGAGAGATAAAGATCAGAGTGACGGCTTCGGGAAAGTGTACGTCACAGAGAAAGTGGCGCAAATAAAGCAAATTCCATTTGATGCCTCCAAATTGCATAGTTCTCCCCGAATGGCAGCCCAGCACAACATGGTGGATGATGGTTCTGGCAAAGTGGAGGTATTTACCTTTTGTTTGTTTGTTTGTTTATGTCAAGCCCATTCATGCCAGTATATGTGGGAATATAACTTCAGGAAAATACAAACTTGGTAAAATGTGACTTTTACTTATTAAAAAAGATGGTCCAAGCTGGGACTTTAAAGCTGGAATAGATGTTGTTTGAGATTCAGTTCTATATTTACAAAACGTATGTTGAGATTCTAAGAAATGAGGTGATTTGTGCAAGATGGCCTAATTGTCACCTTTGAGACCTTGTTTCTTGGACCAGAACCGCTCCTGCTCTCAGAACTGGGATCGTCCAGAGGGGGTGTGTTCACAGAATGAACTGACTACCTTCGGTTTGTCCTTCCCTCGCATCTGAGAGGCATTCACAGAAGCAAATTGGACATGTGTTATGTGCTGAAATCACAGATACTTTTAGAGCATTCAAATTAAGTTCATTGATGATTCCTTGATTTATTTTTTGACAAAAATGCTATTAAAAAAAAACAACCTGATAATTTTCCCTAACCCAAATCTCTTCACACTCAGTCAATCCACTACGGAGTCTTCTAACTTCATGAGAACCGGTGATGTCACTTCTCAAATATTCTAATGGTTCCCCACAGTGTCCCTGAGAACGGCCATTGTCGCTGAGCCTGCAAGGCCTTCCGTGGTCTCATCCCGGCGTTGCTTTCCAGCCCACCCTTCCGCGCCTGGGCTGCTCTCCCCACCGCCACCCCCCCCAGCCCCGCCATCTCAGTAATACCCCCCCTCCTCCTTTGTAATTCAGTAAAGTCCTGCCTCTCCCCAAAAGCCTTCCCCCCACCCTGAAATGATCTTTGTGCTGAAACCGTAAGTAATATTCTTCACAAAACTTATCAAGTATGATAAGTACCTTGGAACTGCTTATTTATTTAGAAATTTCTCCTCCTATACCTCCTGTTAGATCCTTGGGGGCATGAATTGAATATTTTATCTCTATGCTCCGAGGGCTAGCCATACTTTGTTTGGACTAAAATATACAGTAAAGAGATTTAGGGAGTTGTTCTTCCTCCTTTCAAAGACATGAAGTAGGAACTAAGCTGTACAGGGGTGGGAACTGCAAAGGGAGAAATTGTGGCCGCTGTGAGGGGTGTGACAACTTCTGGGTCTGGGTCTGTCTCCTGCTCAGACGTCCTTTTTTGGAACTCTGCTCAGCTGGAGGTGCTGCTGGCAGATTTGGTTCCCCCAGACCAGCTGTGTCCCGACTGCAACTCCATGTCAGCTCACAGCATCTCAGAGATGCCCTCCTGTGCCACCCAGGGCTACTAAAACCCAGAGGCTGTCTCTGGGCTCTTGAGTTTAGCCAGGCCTAGTTGCGATTTCTCCTCTGCCCACCGGGATGGCGTGGGAAGGCTTCTCTCTGAAAGCACTGAACCTGTCCTCTCCACCTGCCTGTCTCCAATTTCCTACCCTGCCCCTGCCCAGGACCTGGCAGGAGGTCGTGTGTGTGCACAACCAGTGCCTGGCAGTCTCTCACTCAGGTGCTACTTCCCCGTTTCACCTGCAGCTCTCAAACTTGGAGTATCTTTAATCTGCAGCAAGGATGAGGAATTAGGAAAAACTGGTTCTGTGAAGAAGACAAAAACTTACAGACATAGTTGATGCCTATATAACTTCATTAACTAACGTCACCCCAATAAATTTAATTAAAAAATACAAACCTAGTCCTGCCTGCTTTGGTTACAGTCTATCGCTCTTGCCTGGGAAAACAACAGCCTCATCCCTTTAAGCTCAGGGAAAATGAAATTTTAAAAAATTATCTCCCAACTGATGAACATTTTAATATAAATTAAGAGATGTGTTTCTAAGCTGAGTATATTCCACTAAAGTGTTATGTTATTTTCATTAATTGATTAAAAACAGGTCTTTATTAATCAACTTATTCAGAACTGTGCAAAGTACTGTGAAGGATGCAAAAGCACTTAACATCAATTCACAAATTGCCAAATTAATAAAATTTCTTCTCGTTGCTTGATTTCTAAACTCATTAGAAAAGTAACGTAAAAGTTACTTAACATTAGATCTAAACCAAATTTTTTAAACTTCTGAGAAGTATTATTAGATCAAGGAATTTGTAGTTTTGGTATATGCACATTCCATCCCTTTCAGATTTGGCGTGTAGAAAACAACGGAAGGATTGAAATTGACCGAAACTCCTATGGTGAATTCTATGGTGGAGACTGCTACATTATACTTTACACTTATCCCAGAGGACAGATTATCTACACATGGTAAGTTTCCCTCTTTTGTAAAATCTCAGTTGCATAGAGGCCAGACTTCACTCCAGAGTTAAGTTCTATTAAGTCCTATGCAATATGGGATAGGCTTGTCCTCTAGTTCTCCCAGTGAGACCTGTATAGCGTGCAGTCATTTCTTTTGATTTGATTTTGACCATATTTTGTAGCCGCTCTCCTCAAACAGGAGGAATTAGATACAGATCATTCTCTCTAGTCTAGGAAAAAGCTTTTGACATCCAAAAGGTAGTGTTCTTTTAGTGGGTGCATAGCTGAATAGCTCATCTCTGTGCACACTGACACTCCAGCTGGCCAGCATTGGGTACCACGCCTTCCTATTAAAATTCAAAGGCCTGCCCTGATTGGAGCCTCCAAGTTGCAATGAGCAAACTCTGCAAGAGGCAGATAAAATTAATGATCCTGTTTTATACTCCAGAGACTTCAAATCAGTGCATCCGTATTCTTTTTCCCCGGGAAGTTCATGTAATAGAGCAAAGTGCCATTGCATCCACATCTTATATGGCTTTGCATAATGATTTGAGATAGTTGAAGGTTAAGTTCACAGAGTCAGGGTCAAGTCCCTGCTCCACTGGGAATGTCTGACCAAGTGAATTAAGTCCACATACCACGTGGGCTAATCCTAAAGGGTTAGGGGTTCTGCGATAAATCATATAATGTGGGATTCTCTAACTCTGTATTAAATGAAATCAGGTTAAATGGAATATTGCTGAGAAGGCTAGAAAGAAAGAAAAGAATTCTCAAAAAAGAGCCTACAAGTGAGAGGTGCAGGTGCCGGGTGCGGGGGAACAAGGGCAGAGCAGCATCTGCCTTTGCCTGGTGGCAGCCTTCGTGGCTTTAGTGAATGGACAGGGACTCAGGTCTCTGCTGATATGGTGACATTTCTCCTTGGTGAGTGTTCCCCCAGATGACAGAGTCATACCTGTCCCCACAGTGTAATCTTAGGACTTCCCCCTTAACCACTGACACTGAACAGTGCCGTGAGCCCAACCAAGTTCAGAAGACGGGATAATCATCACTATCCCATGGGCTCTCGTTACTCAGAGTGTGGTCTAGGAACCAGAGACACCAGTGAGATCTGGAGCTGGTTAAGAAATATAGGATCTCAGGCCCACCTTTGACCCATCAAGCCAGACCTGTGTTTTAACAAGATCCCCAGGTGCTTCACATGCATTTTAAGAATTGACAGGCACTGCCTTAGGCAATGGTTCTAAACACCAGCCACCCATAATAACCTGGACATTTTTCACAAATTCAAATGCCCGGCCCCCACCCAACACCAAATAGCTCCTACTCTCTGTGTGGCAGGACCCCCGAGAGTCTAGTGTACACCACGGCACTGACGAGGACCACTGGGCCCAGAGACACTACTGACCCTGCAGCCATATTGTAGCCTGTCAAAGATGGACCATATTTAGCTTTGCGTATAAGAGGCCATCTTTGGAGCGACCACTTTTTTGAGTAGCATGTTTGTGCCAGCAAAGTACTAGATGTTTTCAAGTGTTCTCTCTCTTACTCATCACAAGGTTATTTGCAAAAGAAAAAAAAAGGGGGAAGAATCAGGCAAATTAAGTAACTGAATACAAAGACGCAATAATTGTAACTTGTAAGGCAGCATTTTGCCCCTTGATCTGTAGGTCTCTCTTGAACGAAGGCCCGAGTGCAGCTAGACCCGAAAGGTGTGTCCTTATTTTGCAATTTCCTTTTCTAAAATTTTAATTCAGAAAAGTGTTTGTGCAAAGCATGACATCTAGAGTGATCAGTTAAAAGTTCCCAGTCAGCTTTTCTTTTGCATCCTGATCTTGGTCTCCCTCTTAATTCTCTTTTGTATGTAAAAAATATAAGTGTGTCACTTAGGTCAAACAAGAACATCTAAACAAGCAATTCAAGAGGGTATTTTGAGGAATTAACAATTTGAAATCCATATAAATAATGATGCGGCTATAACTAAAACAGACTAAGTCAGGTTAAACATTGTAAATGTAGAAGCTGTTCCTTAAATCATTTGAAAGTATTTATTGAGCACTTTCCATGTTCTAAGCACTGCACTAGATACTAAAGGCACAGTGGCAAAAAAAAACCCAAAACACCCCATGACCACAAGAACCTATAGTTTAAAGAGAGGCAGATGATTCACAGGCATTTCAATGAAGGATAAATGATTTGAAGATAAGTCCAAGCCAAGTGACCTTTGAAGAATTACAGTCACCCCAGCCCACTCCTAGCCTGGTTGTGAGGAGCTCCTCGAGGAAGGGACAGCTAAGTGGGAGCAGAGGTGGGAGCTAGCCGGGCAAGCAAATAGGGGTGTTGTTCCAAGCAATGCCAGGAAGTGTGCACTAATCTCCTGGCGATGTCGTATGGCGGGAGCAAAGTGACAGAGCAGGAGATTAAACCACATAAATTACAAGGGGCCAAATTGTGACTGGCCTTGTAACCAGGCTGTGGAGTACGAACTTTGTCAGGCCATTGGGAGCCAGTCCAAGAATTTGCAGGGGCATGATTGCTTTTCATCTTAGAGAAATTATTCTGGTTGAAATCCAAAGAATAGATTGGTGGCAGGGAGGTTGCTGGGAATTTCTTGTAATGTCCAGCTGAAGGATCATGTGTCCAGAATTCAATGTAAGGGTAACAGGGAGGGAAAGGATGAGGTAAGTTTTCAACGTATTAAGGAGCCGGCATCTAAAAGCAGGTTACGGGGAACAGGGAAGATGACCAAGCCAAAGGTGGCCCCTAGATTTCTGGTCTGTTCACAAGTGGATAGTGTTTTATTCACTGAGATAGGGAGCTTAGGAGAATGTTTGCCATGACACCTCATAAAAAACCAGAGAAAAGAAAGGTAATAAGAATACACCACATTGTTAATAGTTACTCACTTTGGGATAGGACTAGGGATGGGGGAGGAGGTTATTTAACTTCTTTTCCTCAATTCAACATGTTCAACATTTCTATGATGAGAATATGCATTTGGGAGAAATCAAGAATATAAGTTAGCTATTTGTGTCCTTCTGTGAGCCTTTACCACTTAATATCTTGGATCTTAAATATGTATCTTTGTTAATGTTGTTTGGTTTGCAGAACTTCCAAAGCTTCCACAAAGGTAGTAAGGGAGGCGTTTAGAAAATGAGCAGATCTCTTGAAGACTGCCTTTCAAATCCAGCAACTTTCCAGTTTACCTGGTAATATTGATGCAGGGATGGAAATAGGTTAAGTCCAGGAGGCAGAGTTAAAGGTGAAAGATTAGAGTTCAATCAACTACTGAATACACAAATTTGTCTTTATATTTGTGAAAACACTTATATTAAAAAATGCTAGGAGACAAATAATTTTGGCAGTGGTCTTTTCTCCAAAATGTCAGGTAATTGAAATTGAACAAACATTGAACAACGGCAGTGATGAATTTCTTGAAGCAGTAAATTCCATTTTCATTAAGAATTTATGTTTAATGGACAGTGAGCACCATATGTTTATAAAGGAATCATGTCAAAGTAGATTTCTTTTTTTTTCCCCCTCCCATAAGCATGGGATTCCAAAATTAGAGGCAAAGAGGGACTTTATTATGTCTTGATTGGAGTACTTGACCCTCTGGGTCATAGATCCATAAAGCAAATGAGCGTGAATCTGTGTGGATGGTAGCGGGGTCCGCCTGACAAGAAGAGGAAGAGAAGCTCACGATTGGCAGTGATGTATCTGTTAAGAGTGTCAGAGGCAAACGTTGGATCAGGTTTTTCGGGTTTGCTGTTCAAAATATTACAGCGGGTAGAGCAAAATGGAGATAAAAGTTAGGTGATGCTGTCTATTAGTTGGTTGAATTTATTTTCCTGTAGAAAAAAAAAACAAAATGGAGAACTCACCAGAAAAACTGCAGATGTGGTGAAGGAATGACAGATGGTAGCAGAGCCTGACATTACCCTCAGCCCTGTGTTCCTCCCCGACCCAAGCTCCCAGCGGCTCACAGGAGTATGTGGTAGCGCTATGAGCTCTTGAACATTTTAGGCCAGTAGCCTTAGAAAAATATATTTCTCTTAGTGCTTTTATTAGGGGAAGCAATTTCTAATTTTGTTTTAAACGTGTGTTTGACATGAGCATGTGGTTTTGGGCGGCGGCCCTTCTCTGTGGACCATTTTTGTATCATTTGACGTTATGTGTGCAATGCAATGTTCTGGAGTAAGTAAGACGTGCTCCCTGCACTCAGTGTTTGTGTGTGTGCTGTGCCCAGGATGGGAGATTACTGTTACTCTGTTCTGGGTATGGAACAGGTCGCTTCAAACTTTCAGAAAAAAAGATATGTTTAATTTTCAAAATCCAGTTCGGGGGTTAGTATTTTTCCTGCTAATCCCTAGCCAGACAGAGAAGGGAGAGTTGGCTAGAAACAAACAAGACTTGCTTTGGCTAGTTCTGCCCTACCCCCTGCTCCGCCCGCCCCCCACACACACACCCACCACACACACACAAATTCATCAAATAGGCAAATCTCCCAAAGGTTGCTTTACAGGTTAGAGCTAATGATTGGAGTTATAGCCACAAGCTACCATAGAAAAAGAAATTGCAAATGAACTGGACAAATTGATTTATTGACCCTTATCTGGGTCACTGGTAATTTAGTCTCTCTTAGAATTTTACTAGAATGACAAAATTGGGCCTCTCCAGAGTCTACTTGTCATGATTATTTTCTTGATTTTCTGGGCTCAGACATTTGATATGATACTCACCAGATATTCATGGAACAATGAAGTGCCTCTGATATCCAGCCTACTAGATTTGACTCAAATTCTCCTAGTCAAATGGAGAATTTTCATTATGGATGTGGTTTTCCAAAATAGGCAGGTCCAACTTGATGTCAAACAGACCTGATTACTTACCTAAGTTATGTAAGGAGCTAAGCGTCAACTTCTTATAAAGTGGAGATGAAGATGCCAACCACATGTAGTTCTAGCCAGTACACGGGCCAATTGATGGCGCAACGTTAGTACTTGCAAAACAATGATGGCTTCTCCAGCCTTGCCCTGTGAAATCAGAGAAACTTAAGTCTCTGCTTGAAATGCCTATATTAGAAGGTCTTAAAACTTAAATACAAGCTAATTTATTTCCCTTTGGTCCCACCAGGCAAGGAGCAAATGCCACAAGAGATGAGCTGACAACATCTGCATTCCTGACTGTTCAGTTGGATAGATCCCTTGGAGGACATGCTGTGCAGGTTGGAATATTTTTACCCCCAAACTCATAGAAGTTCAAGTTTTGGTAACCCAACGTCTACTTTAAGCCCTCCACTCAGGTTGGGATGGAAGCTTGACCTTTTCTAGATACTAGCTTTTTTCCATTTTGGAATTCAAATACTTCTACTCTTGTGCCATAGCAGTTCTCTCAGACCCTGAAGAGAGAAAGCAAACAAAATAAAAAACAATGAAATCCAAAATAAATGACTTATAGATTTAAGAGCCCAAAAGAATCTTTCCTTTAGAATCACATCATATGTCAATGTCAGTCACCTGATATTAAAACTATTCTGAGTTACCACTTCCTGCTGTTGTTAAACAAATCGGATGAGGTAGATTATTCCCCCACCCCCAATCCTGCAAAAATGTGAACATTCTCATCTCCTGGACCTGTGGCTATGTTATGTTATAAAGCAAAGGGGAATTAAGAATGGAGATAGAATTAAGGTTGCAAAATAGGATATCTTAAAACTAGATAAACCTTAAAACCTTCCTGGGTAGGAAGATTATCCAGGATGACCAGGTAGGTAAATCCAGGGTGACCACAAGATCCCTGCAAGTGAAACAGAAAGACAGCTGGAGTTAGAAGGAGGCATAATGAGAGAGACTCAGCAATTGGTAGCTTCAAAGATGGAAGGGTCCCCATCCGAGTAACAGAGGCATCCTCTAAAAGCTGAAAAAGCCAAAGAAACGAATTCACTCCTAGGGCCTCCCAAAAGGAACGTAGCCCTGCGACACCTTGATTTTAGTTCAGTGAGACTCATTTAGTACTTCTGACCTCCAGAACTCGAAGATAAATTTAGACTGATTTAAGGCACTAAAATCATGATGATTTTTTATAAAAGCAATAGGAATTAAATATAGTAGTATAAAAGACGTACAGATCCTAATTAATAGTTAAAACATAGGACAATGTTTTACACTCTCCCAAATCATAAAAGTACATAAGATGTTTTGCACAGAAGATCTGAAATAAACCTGATGAGAGCATGGATCCTTAATTTTTCCCTTCTCAGTTCCAGAATTTTGACTGACACACAGTCTAGCAACCAAACTGAGGGGAAGAGGGAGGGGAGGAGAGGGAAAAAGAGGAAGAGCAAGAGGAGGGCTGGGGAGAGAGAACCAGAGGGAATGGGAAAAGAAGTGGGGGGGGGGTGGAGGAGAGAAGGGAAGGAAAGGAATAGGTGGGAAGAGGGGGAGGGAAGCCACGGAGGAGACGAGAGGGAAAGAGAGAAGAAAAAGGAAAAAGGAGAGGACAGTGTAAGAGAGAAGAGAGAGAGATTCATTATTTGAGTATTTCTGAAAATAAATAATTTGTTGAGAATGACCAATCCCAAATTCTAAATAACAATTCTATATAAATGAGTGAAACTGGGCATTGGGGAAAAACACAATCCCCCCCCCCTTCCTTCCTTCCTTCCATCTATTTATCTTTTTATCTATCTGGAGAAAAGTAGATAGATTGAGATAGAGAAAGAGGGGGAGAGAGACATAATGTGTTGACTGATTACAAAAGGTGGAACACCACACACTGGGACTCTACTATCAGTTCCAGTGCCAGTCGTCCTCATTGTGGTGAAGGGACACTTTCCAGCCTGATTTGACCTTCCTCTTCTCACAAGTTCATTTCTTATGTTCAGGGCAGAATATCTGCTACTTATTTCAGGGCCCATATTAGAGAATTCTTGGTCTTTGCTTATTTAATTCCTCCAAGTGTAACTTAAGTATAGGCTTCAAGGAGACTTTGTTACTTTTCAATGTGCACCAACCTGTCTGTTTACTTTTTTGAACCCCAGGAGTGGCCCTGGCTTGTTCCTTGGCCTTACTGCAAACTCTCCCTAGTGCCAGTCTCTCTCTCTCTCCCCCCCCCACTCCCTCCCTCCCTCCCTCCTCCACCCCCTTCCTCTTTCTCCCCCTCTCCCTCCCTCCTCCTCATTCCCTCCCTCACTTCCCAGCTGGAGCAGCTCACAATGCCTAGGTGTTTTCTCTGGCTGGCTTTGGGGAAAGAGTCTGCTCCCATCTGTTGGCAAAAGCATCGTGCAGACTGGGGTTCAGGCTGTGAAAGCAGGTGCTGGGTTGGCCAGCATCGTGACATTTCTGATACAGCAGCATTAAGCATTCCTTTTGCAGGAATGTGTCTAACTTCCTCAGGCCTGATGTCGAGTGAACCAAGGGTCTATAGGGTACACAAGGTTTTTTTGTTTGTTTGTTTTCTTTTGTTTGCAAAGCTTTATAAATGTGTAATAGCTTCTTCAGAGGTAATAATTAAATAGGTAAGTCAGATACTTCAGTATATATAATCTAAGATATGGAGGCAAAATTTGGTCTTTTAGATAGTTTTCTTTCTACCTCAGTATTTGTTTATAGTTAATAGATATACTAAAAAGCAAATTAGATCTATATGTAATGGTCTGTGTTAACTTTTTTAAAAATTAAATTTGTTAATTGTTAATTAACAAATTAGTAAGATGATTGAATTTTTTAATGTACTGAATTTTATTTCACTGTGAAGTATCCATTTCTTGAATGAAATATGTCTAAGAACTGGCATCATCTATGTAATTTAATTGATACTTAATATATTCCTTACCAAATTATGTTAAAACTTGGAAGATATTTATCATGCCTTAAAAGTTTCATATGTCATAGTAAAATGTTTGAGATACCCAATGAATTTTCCCTTGTTAGCCAGTCGAATCCTAATTGACAATAAAGTGGTAATATTTAGCCAAATCACTAGATGGCAGTAATTTATAAAAATGCATAAGCAACTCAAGTCCTTTATTGCTGTTTTAAACATTCTGTAGTGTATAGTAACAGTACTGAAGAAAATTCAGTTTAACCTTTTTTTCTCTCTCATCTCCTTTCACAGTAGAAAGGGTCTTAATTAGTGGCCTCTTTCCTTTTAAGTCTAGTGTCCTGCTAAGCAACAAGTAACTTCTTGCTAACCTCACCCGGAGCTTCGGGGCTGTGACTCAGAAAACACTTTTATCATTTGCCACTCATTTGTTTAAATGTGTACTCATTGAGAGATAACTGGGAAGTTAATTATTGGCGATGCTCCCTGGGCCTCCCTGCAATAGTATTTGCATCAACATTCCCATTAATTTGGCTTCTAGAAAGAGACAGACTAGATTAGGTGAGAGACAATCCAGTTTTAGCATAGGGCAGAATAATTGACAAAAATGTGGAACCAGCACAAAATTTAAATACTTTATATTTTTAAAAAATGCATCAGGCCCTGACTTGTGTGGCTGTGTATGTTGGGCATCAACCAACTAACTGAAAGGTTGTTGGTTTGATTCCCTGTCAGGACACATGGCTGGGTTACAGGCCTAGTCCCTGGAAGGGGGCATGTGAGAGGCAACTGATCGATGTTTCTCTCCCTTTCTTTCTCCCTTCCCCTCTCTCTAAAAATAAATAAATAAAATCTTTTTAAAAATGCATTGATCATTTATGCAAGAAAATAGGAAATACATTTCTAGTGCAATGTTTGGTGTTAATAGGTGAAATTAAATAACTTCCCATATATTTTCTTAAATTTCCTTATCTTGCAAAGTCTTTATAATGTATTTTTTAACCTGATTTAGGGAAGAGAGAGCGAGAGAGAGAGAGAGAGACAGACATTGACTTGCATGTCCGCTGACTAGGGATCAAACTTGCAACCTTGGCATATTGGGAACATGCTCTAACCAACTGAGCTACCTGGTCAGGACTATAATGTATTTTTTCAAGTGTTTATATTAAGCAAATCTATTATTATCATTTCTAAAGTTAAGTTTAAAAATAGAAAGTATATTCTGTTATTTTTGTCAGGTTTTCATGTTTGGATAGAAATCATTTCTCTATCCCCAGATAGCTCTTCAATTATTTTTTCATCTGAGTTGTAGGGATGCAAAAACAATTAGTATACTTTGTGTTGTTGTAATTGTGGAGGCATTTAAAAGCACATCTCTTAACCTGAACAAGATCCAAAATATGTGAAAAATGTACATACCCCTTAATATCTGTCAGGTGTTGGTACTCTTAAAAAAAGAGTAGTTTCCATGAAAGATGACGTACATCGGCACTTCACTTTTTCTCTTTTGGAGGTATAGGTGAACTTCTTTTTATTTCTCTTTTTGTAAACAGCAAGTGGCCCAGTAAGGTGATGTTCCCCCTGAGGAAAAACCAGTCAGAAGTATGGGGTCTCGAATTATAATTGCTTCTTAAGTCTGTGATAAAACCGTGCTTGATTATCATTAATCTACACCTTCTATTCATCATTATTCCTCCTTCTCTTGACTTGTGGTTTATTTTTTGTTTTATTTTCAAAAAGAAAAATGGGAACACATTTGGAAATGTGCCCTTCTCTCATGGTGCCCTTCATTTCGTTTCTTTTCCCTCCCCCGGCCAGATTCGAGTCTCCCAGGGCAAAGAACCTGCTCACCTGCTAAGTCTGTTCAAAGACAAACCACTCATTATTTACAAGGATGGAACATCAAAGAAAGGAGGTCAGGTACCTGCCGCCCCTACCCGCCTCTTTCAAGTCCGAAGAAACCTGGCATCTATCACCAGGGTTGTGGAGGTAATGTCATGCATTCCAGAAACGACCTGAGCCCTCAGCCAGTATTAATCTTGAAAAAGCTGGCAATTAAACTCCCTTTATGTTTATAGCAACTCAAGTGTTCACAATAAAAAATACTAAAGGCAGGAGAATTGAGTAAAAAGTTAACTCCAGATACCAGGCCTCTCACATTTTTCAAGTGCATTATGCCAAAACGAATGAAATTTAAGAAGAATGTAACAAATCAAGCTGCCAAAGGCATGAGGCAGCCTCCGTGCTGTCCTGGAAGGCCTGGGGAAGATGGATGCGGGTGCTGGTCAGGTGACCCCCCCGGGGAATTCGAGGGGAGCCCCTTGTCTGTGCACATTGAATGAATGTGGGAAACAGGTTTCACCACGCTGGGCCAGACCATAACTCAGCCAGCCAAACACGCTGGCTGACAGCAGCTGTGAGAGAATCATACCCCTATCACATTGTCACTAGACAACACGGCCTTCGGGCATGGGCAAGGCCAGCAGGTGCGGGTTTTTAAATGACTGAGTGCTTTCACTTCTAGGATGATCCATCACCTGGTATGCTGGTCACCTCAGTCTCCCTTGAAATTCAAGTCTCCCAAATCAACCTAAACTGCCCTTCACACCCTGTATATCCTCAGACAGGCCCACCTGCCAATGCTGCTTCTGTACCAGCCATTCAGCTGAGCCCTTAAAACCAGGCAAAGTCGTAGCATCTCTCCACCTGCAACCTCTTCTCGAAGCCTCCTTCCCCTTCACGCTCTGCTGTTCGCTGAAGATGCAGATCCCTGTACAGCCCCCTCAAGAAGAAATTGTGTTTTTCACCTGTGCCCCTTGTGCTACCGTCTACTGAGCAGCCGGTCCTTCCTCCCTTACACTTCAGTGGCTTCGGCCATGGCCTCGCTGTCCCCATCACTCTGGCTTTTCTCATCCAGTCTTGTCATTGACCCCATTTTGTCTCACGGGCACATGGCCCGATACCAAGCCTTCCCATTGGCGATAAGTGCAGCACCTTGGGTAGCTGTTTCAGGCATCTGACCTCAGACAAGCATGGCCTGTCCTGCAGCTCCTTCACTTCAGAATGCGCTTTTCAGCAGCTCTCAGTCTCCATCCTGAATCCTCGAACCCTTTGTGTCCACCGCGCCCTCAGGCCCCCTCTCTCTCCAAATCACCAGCGTCGCTTGCTCTCTACGGGGAACGGAACCAGAGTTCGCACAAGAACCTCCTCTACTCCCTTCCAGTTTCACCAACCTGCCTGCACCTGTATATTCTTCCCAGCTGTCTTATGAAAGAAATTGAAATAGTTAATTTATTTATATTTAATAATATTTGATAGGAGTTATTTACATATAAATTCTAAATCATTTCTAAATTAATATCAATCTATTCTTACCCATACATTAAAAATTAATAATCTTTGTATAAAGTATATACTGGTAAATAATCTAATACATATTTATTACATAAAGAAAGAAAATGTGACTTCTCTATAAGCCCTCACTGCCAGCTTCTGTCCGGGATCCCTGACCTCTGAGCTTCCTAGGAACTTCTCTGGACTTTTCTCTGTCCTGTGTTACCCCTCCTCCAGTTCACCATTATCTCAGGCAATATACTTCTATCTCTTCTGCATTGTTAATTTATTCTTCTGTCCTGGATCATTTATTTCAAAATATAAACATGCCTTTAAGGGACTCCCATCCTTCGTTTAAAAACTATCTCTTGACCATGACCTGGTGACATCCTTTCTCTGCCCTCCTTAAAACTGCAAATCCTCAAAATCATTGTCTCCACTTAATGTGCCATCTCTGCTTTTCGAAGCCTGTTCACTAAAGCCACTCCACTCAGACATCCATTCCTGCCATTCCACCTGCCTTGCGCCTTCTCTGATCTCACTTGTCTTTACCTCCCACTAGCATTTAGACAGTCTCCTTTTCCTGTGTTCTTGAAACTCTGTTTGTTGTTGTTGTTGTTCTTATTGTTGTTGTTTTACCACCAGCCTTCCGAAATACCAAAGTTACAGGATTTCTTCCCAAGTTCAGGGCCGTTCCTCTAAGGGCAGCTTTGCTGGACTCACTTCTGCTAGCCCTCTAAGCACTTGGGTGGTCTGAGGCTTGGTCTTGGTTGTCCTCATTCAGTTACATCGTTGAAATGACATATGTATTGATCTCATCCAGAATATTCTGTGCATGGACTCTCATGTTCAATTATAACTTTTTTTTTTACTCCATCCAATTAAAAGACAGTTAAGCTCTCATTGACGGGCACCCTCAGTTACTTTCTGATGAAAGAGTCAGTGGGATCTGCTACATTCCTTGTCTCTCCCCAGGGGGCACTTATTTATGACATGGTAGCTTGCGTGTGATATAGCTCCTTTATTTCCCTGTGCTTCTCAAACTGGCCTGCATATTCTTAGGCTCCTGGAATGCACTCATCAAAATCATTGTTTATAGGGCTTTCTGTTTTCATCTCTGGGGAGACTATACTTTATTTCCCTGACCCCACACCAATCTGGACATGGGCCTCTTGTCTCCCCTCTCTTCATCAGCCAAGCTCTTTCCTCTGTACCAATAAGACATTTAGATTAGAAATGGGAAGTCACGATTTCTGTAATTCTCTGTCATCATATTTGGTAGACTCCTTTGAGCGTTCTTCAGTTCCTACTGAAAGAGGATGATAACCACGTCCCTGAATGTTACCACCGATTCTTCAGTATTTCCAACAGCCATCCCTTCCTCTTGTACTGCTCTCTCTGGGGACAGGGGGCCTGGCGAACCTGGTGGGATCCAACTCTACACGCAGCTAATTCCTTCATCTGGCACCTCAGTGTGGTCGGCCAAAGAGCATCATTTGGCAAAGTGGATAACCAACTCCGTGAAACACTTTCTTCACTTGGCCTCAAGAACAGTACATTCTTGTCCTCTTCCTCCCCGACGCTGCTTCGTCTCAGTCTGGCTTACTCATGCTTCATCTCCCTGTTATCACACCTAACACCGAGTCCCACAGTCATGCACAAAATGATATACATGCTGTCACAGTGACACAGTCACATAACCAGACAGAGGTTCTCACAGACACTGATAAAGAGTCTCAAAATCACAAGGTCCTAGACACAGAGACACAGGCCCACCCTAGACCTTCAGGCTCACCACCAAGTCCGAGCCTCTGAACATGCCTGTTCCTGCCCAGAGGTTCCGCCTTCAGCCTCCCTCTCCAGCCAGAGTCCAAGCCCCGGGATCCCTTTCACTCTCCTGTGGCCACATGGGGCAGCACTGCGTTCACCTGGCTGGTCCGAGACAGTGTCCACAGCGTCTTGGTTGAAAGGAAGGGGTGTGTCAGTGCTGTCTTTAATTTATAGTCTTATAAAAGACTATAAATAGTCTTTTATAATTTGAGCAATAATTTATTGAACCTGGAGCACTTTTTAGTGAACCTGCATTATTATATCTTTGCCTACACCGGACTCCCATCCCTGATTTGTGGTTTTTTTAGACATCCCTTTGATTATTTGATAAACCTTCTCTCCTGTTTAGCAGGAGAGAGAAAACTGAATACCTTTGCTTCATGTATGTCATTTGGAAATACTATTCCCTCTTCTCCCCGCCCCCCCCCCCCAGTAATAGCGCATTCTTGTTTTTATGATCTCTTTAAATATTATCTTTGCTACTTATCATTTAAATTTGGCTAATTTCATTCTCAGAGCCTTGTGGCACTTCGTGTGGGCAGTTGGGAGTTAAATGGGCACCGACTGAAGTACTCCTGCCCCAGAGCTGTTAACGCCACGGGGTGCCCACCTGCTGCCCTGAGTTAGCTTCCTGGGATTGAGACAGAGGGCCCTGGATGATTCGTCACTGCCACAATTTCTCCGATGTGTTCAGTGAAGGGGCAGCTATGAGTTTGAATCATTGTGTTATTTATCTTCATACTGTAGGTAGATGTTGAGGCAGAGTCCTTGAATTCCAATGATGTTTTTGTCCTGAAACTGCCACACAATAATGGCTACACCTGGATAGGAAAAGGTGCTAGCCGGGAGGAGGAGAGGGGAGCAGAGCACGTGGCCAGTGTGCTCAAATGCAAAACCACAAGCATTCAGGAAGGAAAGGAGCCAGGTGTGTACTGCGGGACCTGGGCCACTGATCGGAACTTACCTTTGGTGTGATTGCTAACCACGTAATTTATTTGATCTGTAAATAGTCACTTTCTAAAGATCATGAGTGGTGGGCAGGGTGGGGGGCGGAAAGAATCCTTTAGCTTCCACAGTGAGTGGTAGTACCTGCTATATTTCAATAATTTCTTAACATTAAAATCAAGGTAAGATATGATTTGTTAATAATATCTGAAAATGCATCAGGTAACTCAGTGTGTCTTCCACAGAGGAGTTTTGGGATTCCCTCGGAGGTAAAAGCAAGTACCAGACCTCTCCACTGCTGGAGACCCAGGCTGAAGACCACCCTCCTCGGCTTTACGCCTGCTCTAACAAAAGTGGGAGATTCATGGTAAGTGTCCAGGGAGACTTTCTGGTGTCGGCTTTGATGCTTTCCAGCCATGTTACCTCTGATTCTCAATTTCCACTCACTTGCAAACCATAAGTGATACTCTTCACCCATCCCAGCTTAGTTTTAAAAGTCAGTGATGTAATGCATGTGAAAGCACTGGAATATTGTAATGTACTATATAAATCAAGCTGCTCTTAAAAATATCAGCTACCTTGCACCGGGGTCAGCATGCACGGGGGTTGGATTTGCTAATCGAATAATTTGATATTTCTTGCTGGCTACAAGAGTGGTTTCTGATCAAACTACATAAATGTTACCCTTCAATTTCCAAGGGGGATAAGAAGTTTCACCATGCTGACTGAATAAAATATATTATGGGATTATTATAATCATGGGACAAAATCACAGAGAGCTACACACGCACCTGCAAATTAACTGAAATCAGGGGGAATGTTTTATTTCAGACTCATTCACAGATTTTGAATTCCAGGTATCTGGAAATAAAAGTGTCCATATCCAAGAGTGGTTTTATACTGGGCTCTGGAATATTCTGGGCTGCAGCCCATCATCTCAGTTTAACTTCTTTCTCTGTTTGCCAGGCTAGGCTCTTGTATAAATTTTTTCGTTTAAAGAACTAATTCCTTTACTATATAAAATTTGATCTAAAAATTTTGTCATCACATCCTGGTGAATACACACTTTATTTTTCAACACACACACTCTTGAAAATTTCCTAAGTATTTTCCCAGGTACATGCTTCCTACAAATAAAATGCTTTGAAGAAGAAACTGCTCAGGTACAATTTACACTTGACATTTATAAGTGATTTGACCAAAAATTAAAGATTTAAATTGTGGGTTGTGATAAACATTTCCTTGTTGGCCACTGCAATTGCTCATCTACTTTTCAAGAAACCTCTGTATTTTATAAACCTGTCATCAGAAAAATGTTGTTTTATTCTTTTGATTGTTAATTTGATGTTGCATCTGAACAACTTCTTTTTCACCATATGTTCCTATAATTTCTTATTAGTATTATTTGCTAATATTGCTATAAATAACATGTTGGTTTTAAATGAAGATGTGTTTTACAAAAATAATACATAGGCTTTCTTCTTAGTTGGGTATAAAAAATTCTATTAGTCTTTTTTTTTTTTGGTCATGCACATATTTAAAAGAAATGTACTTTTCCTCTGCACCTCTTCATTTTCTTGTTTGATATTCAGAACTCCTGCTCCCTTCACAATTTAAAGCAAAAGAGTGTTACTGAAAAGTGTTTCATTTTATCGCCATCAGAAAGTGGTCTTTAGACATGTGGATTCATGTCTAGAAGCAGGAGAACCCACTGGTTAAAAATGCAGCTCTTAGAGCCAATCTGCCTGTGTGATATTACTTACTTGCTGATATTATTTACTGGCTGTGTGACCTTCAGCTTGTTACTTACCATCTCTGTGCTGTAGGTTTCTCATCTGATAAATGGAGCTAATGCTAGTATTTTCTTCATAGGGTTGTTGGGAATGTAAAATTAGTTTTTGTACATAAAGGATTAGGACAGTGCATGGCACAAAGTAAGAAATATTGAAAGTTTTTGCTTTTTTAACTATTTATATGATTAGTAAATACTCTGTAAAAAGATAATATAAACAAATTCCTTGCCCTTTATAAATGGTTAGCTTTTCATTGGCTTGTTTTTTGTTTCTGTACAACAATCTTGGTATCCCATCCATACAGTAGATGCATTGTCGTGCTCAGAGAGCTCCAGATTGCCTAGGGCCTGGCTTATGGAGGCTGGCACAGCTGGGAGGTTCTCCTTTGGCTGCAGGTTGGGTTCATGCTTGTTTTTCCCATGACATGCCCCAAGGGCACAAGAGGGTCCCTGATGAGAGTCACATTGGCTAATATGACATGGCCAAGGCCACAGTCAGCTCTTTACCAACTCAACCGTGCTGCGAAGTCACATGGCAGAGGGAAGGAGTGAAGAACTGGGAACCGTAGTCCAATCTACCACACTTTCCTGAAGATCAGGGAATTTATCTGGAATTCTTTAAAAATATTGAACTTTAATACATACTTGCTGGCACTGGGTGTATTAAACTAACCTTCTGCATTACCCTTTAATGTAAAACTATAGAGAACACAATTTAACCCACTTAAAAATAATAAAACTTTGTTTATGGAATATTAAATTTTATCTTATTGAAAATTGTTGATTTATAAAAGTGACCATACCTATTGATTTTATGAAAAGAACCTTGACCCACAAAATGAAAGGCAATTTAATATCCAGACCATAAGCTCAAATGTGTTGACATAAGAAATGTCCAAACCTGTAGAGAATTTTTGAGTTCTATTGAGTCAAAACTGACAACATAGGCCAGGAGAAGATCTCACATGCTCCTGAGAATAACAGTCTTGCAGCTTTTATGCATTTGAAATTGAGGAGGGAACACAAGGAAGGCTATGTGGAGGTAAGAAAAAGCAAGGTGGTGATGGCAGTACAGGGTGGGTAACAAGATTATGTGCTCTCTTCCTCAATACCTCCTTCTGGTAGTTCAAAGGTGTGTTTACCTGGATACACAAGAATAATGGACAGGGCTGGCTCAAAACCTTTCACTAAAGAAGTTATAGGCCTGGGGCATGACTACCCACCATGACCTCCCCAGTTAGGAATTTATGAGTAGATCGTACTGTGTAGTTACTGTCCATAAAATAGACCCTCCCCTGACCTTCCCCCCACCCCACAAATACCTTTACAGACTTTAGGAAGGCCTCATAAATCTGTGAAACAACTTGTCTATATACTAGAAAAATTACTATTTTACCATTTGGTCATAAAGTTTTTTATATATTTCAGATTGAAGAGGTTCCAGGAGAGTTCACCCAGGATGATTTAGCAGAAGATGACGTCATGTTACTAGATGCTTGGGAACAGGTATCATTATATTTTGTTCATAACAAGAGTGTGTCCTTATAGTTGGGAGCTGACAAAACCTGCTTGGAGAAGTGTCAAGTTTAATAATAAATGGACCTATGGATTTAGGCTCTATTTAAAAGAGATACAACACATTTTGGCAAAAAATAAGACTGACACATATAGCAAGTTGATGTCTTGTAAAAACAATTCCACGGTTACCATCCTTGGCTCTATAATTTTAGGTACTATTTTTCATTTATTTACAAAATTTACTCCTAAACTTTTCATACATTTATATATTCATTTAACTAATAAATGCATTAGCAGGTATAATTAATGTGTATAACAGGGGTACAGTACCATGGGGAGACTGAAATATTCAGAATTTCTCTTGAAATTTGACAGGGAGACATAGGGGACTCTTCCCATAGGAAAGAAACAGACACAGAATAGTTTTGAATCTGCAAAGTATGTCACTATTACGTTTAGTTCTGGATAAAATTAATGGTGATTTAACTGGCACATTTGACGGTTGTTTTTTTAATCTGTCTTTACCATTGTAAATTAACAATAGTAAAGGGGGAAAATAAATATGTTAGAAACTAAATGACATAGAACAATATGAAACATTTACATATCTGAATTTGGTCTGATCTAAGAGTCAACCGAAGTTATTGCTACTTATAGGTCTGCTGTTAATTGCCAAGTCATTCAGGTACAATACCCCTTAGCTTCTTGTTAACTAGACTTATTGTGGTGGTGATCACTTCACAATAGATACAGTACTGAATCAATGTGTTACACAACTGAAACTAATATAGTGTTATGTGCCAATTATACCTCATACTTTTTATGTACATTACCTTGCTGTCATGCTTTGTTCTACGCCCTGCAAGCCAGTATTTCAGCCTTTTCAGTGTGAATTAGAACACAGTCAAAAATAATTTGACCAAAATTTCTCTGCCAACAAGTGACTTCAGAGTGATTTACATATGAGGTCACTCAGGAGAATTTTTCAGCATTGAAGTACCCAACCTACATATTTAAGAAGGAGAAGGATGCATACAGAATATATACTTACAGCAGTTTAAGTATAGCCTCAATATTTAAATACTAAAGGTTATAGCACTTTTACTAAATTGTTAGGGGATATGGTACTCACTAAGCTTCAGTCAGAGGTTCATCAACCTCTAATTTGTGGGGTGCCTGCTAACAAGCTGAGAGTTGTCCCTCCAGGATAAGATAGAGACAATGATTGTCCTTCACATCCCAGGGCGGGGGGTACAAAAAAACCCAGTAAGATGTTTTTGAGAAAATTCACTTTATAAACTAGACAATGCTATATAAACACAAACTACCAGAATGTGAAATCTAGGGGGAAGCTTGTCTGGATACAAGTTCCGTGTCTCCTGGTGAGTGCAAACAGTGAGGAAGTGTCCACACTTGCCCACACTGCTGTGTCCATGTTTCTCACTCCTGGGCTGTTGTGAAGTTTAAATGAGCCATGTGTGGGAAGAGGTTTGTGTGGGATCCAGAACTGAGTTCATGCTCCCCAAGCAGTGTATTTTATTATTGTTTCATTTTTTAGATTTTTATTTGGATTGGCAAAGATGCCAATGAAGTTGAGAAGAAAGAATCTGTGAAGTCTGGTAAGCTAGATATCAATTATCCTGAAAATTTTTATTTTTATTTATTTATTATTTTTTTCTTTCTTAAATGCAGATAGATTTTATTTATTTTTTTAAATGTCAAAGTTAATTATAAAAAATTAAAAAAATTTTAAACCATTATAAAGTCTCAGCAATTAAACCAACATGACACCAGCACAGAAATATCATCAAGTAGATCGATGAAATATAATGAGCATTCTAGAGACAAACGTATATATCTGTCTAACAATATAATATATGATTAAGTTGATATTTCAAATCAATGGGTAAAATAAGGCTTATTCAACAAATAAGGTGCATGGACCACTATTACTTGGAATAAAACTAATATAGAGCCCTATTTCACACATTATACAAGAAATATTCAGGTGAGTTAAAAATCAATATGTAGAATCTAAGGAGTTTTAGAAGAAAATAGAACTAATATTTTTCATGACCTGAAGTAAAATATTCAAACCCAGAAGGTATAAGGTAAATATTGACAATATGACTATATTAAACATTTAACTATATAGTAATATACATATTAAAAAAGTTAAAGGACAAGGAATAGAATAGGAAAGTATTTGCAACACATCTAAAACATGGTTAATAAGGTTTTTTTGTTTTTTTAGGGGAAAAATTTCTACAAACTTTAATCAATAAATGAATAAAGAATACCAGAAAGTTATTTAAAGCTTTTTTTAAAAATAATAGAAATAGGCAAGAAATATACTAAAACAGGTTTAGTTTTAATAAATAGTAAAAGAACAATTAAAATAACATCATTGTCACAATCAGATAAATGAATATTAAAAATATTATCAGTATCAAGTATTGGCAACTCTGAAAGGAACTGGGTATTCATAAAACTTTTTCTTCATCTTAAAGCAGTACCTTTAGCATATTTTGCAGCGCAGGTTTGGTGGAGATGCAGTCTTTTAGCCTTCTTTTGTCTGGGAAACTCCTTATTTTGCCTTCCATTTTAATTGAGAGCCTTGCTGGGTACAGCAGTCTTGGTTGCAGGCCTTTGCTTTTCATTACTTTGAATATTTCTTACCATTCCCTCTGGCTTGCAGTGTTTCCGTTGAGAAGCCAGATGCTAGCCATAGTGGGGCTTCCTTATATGTTATTACCTCTTTGTCCCTTGCTTCCTTTAGGATTCTCTGTTTGTCTTTGATATTTGCCATTTTAATGATGATGTGTCTTGGAGTGGGCCTCATTGGGTTCCTCTTGAATGGGACCCTCTGTGCTTCCTGGACTTGTGTGACTTTTTCTCTCCTCCAGTTAGGGAAGTTTTCCATCATTACCTTTTCAAACAGGCTCTCTATCCCTTCCTCATCCTCTTCTCCTTCTGATATTCTTATTATACAGATATTATTACATTTCAGGTTGTCCTGCATTTCCCTCAATGCCTCTTCATTCTTTTTGAGTCTTTTTTCATTTTCTTGCTCTTTCTGGGAGCTTTTTTCTACCTTGTCCTCCAGCTCACTGATTCAGTCCTCAGCTTCATATAGCCTGCTTTTGATTCCTTCTACTGTGTTCTTCAGTTCAGAAATTGTATTCTTCATTTCCTCTTGTCTCTTATTGATAGTTTCTATGTCCTTTTCCATGCTGATATAGTTTGCAGTAAGTTCCTCGTAGTGTCCCTGTAGTTTTTTGTAATTCTCTCTGAGCTCACTGAGCTTCCTTAGGATTGTTGTTTGGAATTCAATATCTGATAGTTTACTTGCCTCTATGTCATTTAATTCTCTTTCTGGGGATTCCTCCTTTCCCTTTGAGTGGGGTGTATTCCTTTGTCTTCCCATTATTTGTGAGACTCTTCTCTTTTGCTTCTGCTTCTTAAGTTGATCCGTCTTGATTTCCTGACTTTGTGGTGTGAACTTGTCTGGTTGGAGACCGCTGTTTTTACTTTCTAGATCTGCCTCTGATGATGTCAGATTTGACCCTGTCTGACCTTAGTTGGTTCGAGACTTCCAGGAATCTATTGTCTGTGGCCGTCTCCTTCAGCTGTTAATCTATTCACTCTGCACTCAGCAGGCCGCCTTAGACAGCTCAGGGTGGGGCAGAGTTTCTCCTGGAGGTGGGTTTATTGAGTCTACTCACACTGCTGCCATATGGGGGAGGAGTCCACACTGGGATCCCACCAGCTACTCCCTTCATTTTCTCCCCAAAGCCTCCGTCCCCAGTCTCTCCTCAAGAGTCGCCAGATCTCTCTGCACCCCCTTTAGCCAGGGCTCTGCTATCTATGGCTGCCACTCTGCACTTAGCAGGCAGCTTAGACAGCACAGGGCAGGGTAGAATCCCACCTGGGGGCAGGACTATTGGGTCCTTTGACGCTGGAACCGCTCAGGGGGAGTGGTCTCTGCCTGAGCAAGATGGCTCCTGCTGCAATCTGGGGGATGAGTCAGCACCGAGATCCCGCCAGCTACTCTAAGTTCTCTCCCCAAAGCCTACTTCCCCAGTCTCTCCTCAGAGTCTCTAGCCCACTCTGCTCCCCTTTTGCCGGAGACTGGAGTAAGTGGCTGCAAATAAAAATTTTGCATTGGCCCTTTAAACAGTCCTTTGGGTCTCCAGCCGCCTGTCTCTGGCAGAGAGCAACCCTGTTGCTTTTCACAGCTGGCTGTTTTCTGTGTACTTTTTGGGCTCTGGTGCTGTGGGCCAGAGATCCCCACTTTTGGTTTAGACCCTGCTCTTCTCAGGGGGATCCAACTGGCCGTTTAAATATCCTTCTGGTGCTGCCACCCATGGGTGCCCCCCCCCCCACCTTCTCAGGTCTGTACCGCAGTCCTGACCAGTTAGGTTGCACTAAAGCCGAATCTTCTGTCCCCGAGGTTACAAGCCTCCTCTCTCGCTATTGTTCAGTTGTTTGTTCCAGGCGATTTCTCCCCAATTTAATTGTAATTCTAGGTTGGTCCTGGGAGGAGGTCAGTGTGACTTCCACTCACTCCTCTGCCATCTTGATCTCCTGAAAATGTTTAATTCACTTACATTTTTTGTTATAGATAGTAAAACCTCCATAACTGTTATAACCTAGGTTATTTTTTAATTCTTTTTGAATAATGCTGGAGGTTTTTGGTGCTTTTTTGTTATTGAAAACAAGAATAATTATGCCATCAGTATAATTCCGTAAAGTTTGGAATTTTTTTCCAGGCAATAATGAAGCTGTCATAGAACATTCTAGTAGATGAGAGAAATCTATAAGTAATTGTTCATATGAAGCAGTATTTGACTGCTTTGGAGCAAGGAGGATTTAATTCATTACTTTTATTGGAAACTGTTCATTCTATAGTTACTTTAATCAAAGCTAATTAAATTTATGTCTTTGCGCTTCATTTTAGCCAATGTGTACCTTGAGACAGACCCTTCTGGAAGAGATAAGAGGACGCCAATTATCATCATAAAACAGGGCTATGAACCACCCACATTCACAGGCTGGTTTCTGGGTTGGGATTCCAGCAAGTGGTAAACTGATTTTTGTAGGAAAAAACAGACACTCTTTGGAGGGTCAAAGGAGGAGGTTTTGTTTCTATGACTTTAGAAAATTAACCTCAGCTATCTGGCTATTTTTTAAATGCCTAGTATTGGTTTGAAATTCTTTTTTAACTGGATTTTCTTATGTTAGTATTTTTAAATAACCTAAATTAAACTTTTGTTATGGACCATTATTAGCTCTGCTTGAAACTATGCCTTTTTATATGACCTTTTATAAGCGAAAAGCTATGCCAAGCTAGGAGAATTTGCCAGGGAATTTTATTATTCAGGAGCTGCTAGCCAAACTTGTTCTTTAACACACCGGAGAAGACAGCAGTAACGTTTCAGTGGTTCCTCTCCTTCCTATGTGTTGTGTTCAAAAGAGGAATATAGTTGCAGTAAAGTTTGTTAAGATGCCTTTAAAAGTTTGTTTTCCATCTTTAGCCAATGTGACTTTGATACCATTGACTCCTTAGCGTCATTTTCTAAAAGAAACTGTCGTTTTTGCCTCTTTAAAAGCCTTTAATAGCATGGTTCTTTCATGAAAAAAACAATTTGTATTCTTATCCACTAAGAGATGTTTATATTTGACAGTACATGTTTAATATCACTAAAAATGTGTACAAGAAAACTTCACAAATGCTTTAATCATTAAAACACATCTTTTTGAAAAGGTTTTTTGTTGTGAGATTTTATTCAAATGTGATATGTGAGTTAATCACATGATTAATTTTAAGGTTAAATCCTTTTATGCACAAATAAACATAAATGTCAAAATAAACCTTTTCATGGTTACATAATAAGAAAGATTTTAGTCTATGGCCACACCACCCTGAACGTGCCTGATCTCATCTGATCTCGGAAGCTAAGCAGGGTCAGGCCTGGTTTGTACTTGGATGGGAGAAAAGATTTTAATATCATATAGTACATATGAAATCTGAGTCTTGTTAAAAGATGAACCAAGGTATATTAAAACTTTTAAAAGTTTATTTGACTAGAAATCAATTGAAATTAGGCAACGCCAAACCAGCAGGGGTTCAAGGTGAGAGACATTTATAGATAAAGTGGGAAGCCAAGCAAAGAAACTACTGATTCGGCTATAGCCTAAAGTCTATTTGGTTGTTCATGATTGGTTGTCCTTAGGTTTTGATTTTTGTGACCTTGAGACATTTATAGGCTTAGATTTTGGTTTGTTAATGCAGGCCTCCACAGCATCGCAACACCTCAGTCTAATGGCCTCCTTCTTTAATTAATTTAACAGACGCAAAAAACAGGAGTTGGGACAGAAGATGGAACTCCAGTCAAGTAGAAACCAACTTTGGCAGTAGATTGAGGGCAGCCGGGTGAGGAGGGAAGGCTACCCTTCCATGCAATGGGCAGTCTGAGCTGGGAGTGATCTAGGGAATCTCCAGGAAAATGAAGGGCCTCTGTGTGTCAGATCAGGTCCTGGCGTGGGGAAGTGGGCCCAGTGCCACTGTGGCCTAAATGTGAATGGTTTTCTGAGGGCCGGGGGCTTGTGAGGGTAGTAAAGGCAGCCGTGAGAGGCTGTACTTCCAAGGACTACTCATTCATCCAGTAAATATTGATTAGGCATCTACTCAGTGGCAGGTGCTATGCTAAGCACTTTGGATCCAATGTGAATGAAACAGATGAAATCTCACTTGTCATAAACTTTATGGTGCAGAAAGGAGGCCCACAAAAAAATCAGTAAATACGTGTATTATAAAATATTAAAAGTTCTATGGAGGAAAAAATACAAGGAATGGGAACAGAAATTGCTAGGTGAAGAAGGAGGCGAAGTGCAATATTACTAGGGTGGTTAGGGAAGGCCTTGTTAAGCAAGTAACCGGATAATTGGCAGGGGGAGGGAGTGAACCATGTGATCCCACCCAGGCAGAAGGGGCGCCAAGTACAAAGGCTGGAAGTGGGAGTGTGCCTGACCGAACGGGGCTGAAGTCTACAGGAGCAGTGAGATTCCTCAGGGCTCCCTCCTCCTGTCCTCACCACACTAGATTAAAAACAAAATCATCTTAAACAGAACTGCTGTTTTAAGCCCGGGCTGTGAAAAGATTGCTTTCCCAAATGCCAAACACGAGAACTCAGTGATGCTAACACCTGAGGAGACAGCCATGTCATTAGCAAAATCAACTCGGGGAGGGCGTAGCTATTGCTCTGCTGAAATAGTGGGGTGGTCACCAAATTTATCATCAGGTGCAGCAGTTATATGAAGAAGACTTAGGAACCCTACGGAAGGGCAGTTGGTGGAGTGCAAGGTCAAAGATTTGTAAAATTTCCTGGAAAGGGGAAGTTAGGGAGTTGCTGTTTTAATTTCACACCCAGAACTCACATGTCTTGAAGAAACACCCATGACATATGTAAAATCTGTATGGTGGGAAGGGGAACCAGTCTTCCTCTCTTTCTTTAAATTATACTTTTTTTTATGCCATTCTGGTCGTCCCGCTTTTTTCCCTCTGCCCACCTCCACCTAGCCTCCCGCCCCCCCGGCTCAGGCGATCCCCGCGCAGTTGTCCATGCCCTTGGCTAAGCTCTTGACCTCCTTTCACACCTCCCACCCCTCTGACAGCTGTCAGTCTCTTCCTGTATCCATGCCTCTGATTCTATGTTGTTTGTTTATTTTGTTAATTAAGCCCACATATAAGTGAGATCATACGGTATTTATCTTTCACTGACTGGCTTATTTCACTGCGCATAATAATCTCCAGGTCCATCCATGCTGTCCCCAAAAAGTAAGAGCTCCTTCTTTACTGTTGTGTAGTATTCCATTGTATAAATGTATCACAGTTTTTTTATCCACTCGTCTGCTGGCAGGCACTTGGTGGATTATAGATAGGTTATTGTCCTATGAGAGTGTGTAGTCTTAAAACTCAAGTTACATGTAAACTTGCACAGAAATTAGTCTTTTGAACTAGTGTGGCTTCATTTTCATTCGGAAATGTGGCTTCATACAGCCAGTTAACAAATATAAAAGTTTCATAATAAAATTTCTATCATAGGGGATGGAACTACTGCTTATTCATTTTTAATATGGAACTTTTAATATGGTTTCTTGCCCTGGCGGGTATGGCTCGGTCAGTTGGGCATTGTCCCACAAAGCAGAAGGCCGCCTGTTCAGTCCCTTGCCTGGGTGTCAGGCTCAGTCAGTCCCCAGTCGGGGAGCATGAGAGAGGCAACCGGTCAATGTTTCTCATGTCGATGTTTCTCACCCTCTCTTTCTCCCACCCTTCCCCTCTCTCTAAAAATAACTAAATAAAATCTTTTTTAAAAATTAGACTTCTTTCTTCATTTTGATTTTCCTTCAAGATTTTGGGATTAAAAAAAAACAAAAATATTGATATATTGAGTCCTCAGCTACAAGCGCTCTACAGACCTTTTGCTGCTTCAAATACAATAGCACACTCATTTTTGCATGACATTTATGGCTAGAAAACAACAGAATTTAGTGAATCCAGGAAAACCAAGTGCTAATCAGAAATAAGTATTCTAGTCAGAAGTAGCACATCTCAGGAATTTCAAATAAAGAATCAGATTATATTATGTTTGAGCACAAAGCCAGGAAACAAGGAACCTAAGTGAACTATTTTATTGTCTTAGCTACTGTTTGTTTCTTTTGTTTCACAAGACCATTAGAGAATTGACTTCAAAATAACATATATTAGGATATTCAGAGGGATAAAATAAACATACATATTTGGCTTTTTTAAATGCACTTAAAATATTCATTGAGAGAAAATGGTCCATAAAACAAATTTCGGTAAATTGAAAGTATTGAAATTAAACAAACTATGTTCTCCAATCATAATGGATTAAACAAGGAATCACTAAATATTTGGATAAAGGAAAAATCACTAGGGAAAGTAAAAAATATTTTTAACTCTGAAAATTTAAAACAGCCCACCAAAATATGTGGGAAACAGCAAACTCAGTGCTTAACAAGAAATTTATTGCATTAAATCCTAACACAGATAAATAGGCCTCAAGTCAGTGATCTAAGTTTCTATCTTAAGAAACTATAAGGGCAAATTAAACCCAAAGAAAATGGAGAGACAGGGTGATGACTAATATAGACTAATACAGAGAAGGGGGGAAAACATAAATTGCTAATATCAGCAATAAAATAAGTTTCACCACAGACCCTATGGACACTAAAAATAAAATTAAAAAAATAATCTTATGCTTAAACACTTGGCATTGATGAAATAGGAATATTTATTGGGAGATAAACTACTAAAGATAATTCAGGAAGAAATTAGATAACCTAAGTAGCAAGGTACACACATATTAAAGAAATTGAATTCACAGTTAAACACCTGAAAGAAAAGTCTAGGCCTAATTGAGCTTTCGTGGTGACTTCTATCAAACGTTTAAACAATAAAACTAATTCTATACAAACTCTTCCAGATAATAGGGAGATGAGAGAAAATTTCTCGACTCATGTACGAGACCGGTGTTACTCTGACCAAAATGAAACAAAAGATTGTTATAACAGAAAACTATTGTACATAACGGTATTGCTCAAAACATTGATGTGAAAATCTTAAAATGTTATCAAATTGAATCCAACAATACATAAAAATTAAAGGGATTTTGTAGAGTAAACGGAGGCAGTGTGGCTTCCTCACTCAGGTGTCTGGGTAACTAAGGGAGGTAGTTTCCCATCACCTCGAGAATGGGCCTCAGAAGCAGTGTTCGCATAGCCTTCATTCTGGGTCTGAAAAATGCTTCCCATAACCTTGAGTGAGCTCGCATGTGCAGAATCACGTTTTGTTACCTAATGTTTGGGCACCTTGCTAGCTTTGTCTGTATTCAGTATTTAGGAGGTAGGGACTCCCCACTGAGGATGCAGGGCCATGACAGGGGACAGGGGACATGTATTGTGACATGCAGACACACACAGCTTGCAGCATGCGTGGATTGCCCACCCTTGAATAAAGGCATGTCAGACATCCCGACGGCTCCACGACTTTTCTTCTGTCTGCTTGAGTCTGGAGTGGACCTACCTGGCCTTGACAGGTTGCAAGACAGGTTTTATCCCAGAAATTCATTTAAATATTTAAAAAATGATC